TGATCTTAGCCTGCTGAACTTATTTTCCAACTTGATCTTCCATTTTGGTGATGCACTGTTTGGCTTTTTTTCTTGTTTGTTGCTTTTGCATCCAAGATCTTTCGTTATAACTGCAGCTGTGCTGTATATCAGTTGGTTTGTTTCTTGAAGAGAGCTGGTGCTTATATTTGATATTACAGTATTGGCATCTTTTAATACTTGTGCTAGCTGTTTTTTTTGTAACAAACTTCAATGCAGGCAACCTTTTTCTGTTGTTTTTGTGCTGTTCTAGATGCTCAGTTATTCTTCGTTTCAATTCCTCTTGTTTTTCAGTTAAAGGACTGTTCTTTCTGAGAAGGTAGAGGAGAGGGTGCCTAGTTTGGGAATGAGAATGGTTCAATAGCAATGCTGGCTTCCCCTGCTACCAACTCCACCTGGATTGTCTCTACTGTCCGAGCTACTTCTGGCAAGGCTTCGATTTCTTTGCCCTGGGTTGACCTTTGCAGTTCTTCCAATTCTACTTCAGTGAATTCTTTATTTCATATTATAAATCAATGTTGATCTGCTAGCCTCTGTTCTGTTATTTCTGATCTGGATGTTGTTCTTTCCAGAACTGGTGCATTCTTTTCAGATATACATAGTCTTCTCGCTAGACTTTATTTGTAATAGCAGATCATTATTTGTTTTCAGTCTTTGTATACTTGCGACAGGTACACAACTTTTCTCCCAGTAGTGCTGCAGCTGCTGGCCCTGGTTGCTCAGCCAACAGTCCTGAGTCCTGTAGCCCACTTGTCACCAGATGTCCAGGAATTAGAACATGTAGCGCAGTCCTTCTTGACCTGGGCAATGACCAACCCGGTATTGGATTCTGTAAGTTATGTCTCACCATATTGTTTATGAGAGAGACACTCTTTGTCTGGCTCCTCTGATGAGACCTGTCCAGTATGGTTGAACCTCTGGCATAGCTCTCATCTTCCTCAGAGCACGCAAGCCCCACAACCATGTCAAGGTAGTGCCTCACTGGGGGTGGTTGTTACTGCTGCTGCTGCTGCTATTGTTATTATTTTGTGCATTTGAGTCCATGTTGACTCCTGGCAATTACCTGGACTAATCCCTGCAGTTTTGTTTTGTTTTTTCCTTTTCTTCCCATAGCTAAATCAAAGACATCAGACTTTCAAATCAAATATACAGACAGAATATCTAAAGCCATAGGTGCTACAAGCACATGTAAATCCACAAAAACCTTTGCAAACTTCATTAACTATGAGAAACAGAATCTACCATCCCTGGTGAGGGTGATCACCTTATTGCTGCACATCTCACTGGAAACTCAGAAGCACTACTCCCTATAGACAAGCATTCAGGAATATGGATCAGCAAGTACTGATATAGGCTGTTTGCAGTGAGGAAAGACATGCTTGGGGTGCAGGTCTAAAATTAATATGGAACTGTATATTTTAAAATAACACCTTTATAATTAGATTTGTGAGCTGTTGTAATAAAAATATTAGCTAGATAACTAAAAGCCAGAAAACAGAATGCAAATCATACCTGAATTATAGCAGGCTTCTTAACAGTAGAAGTAACAGAATGAGTTGCCCAAGACAGCGTTTTAACAGGAGCTGTTAGTACTTTAAGTACCTGTGTTCCAGAACTCTTTCAGGAAAATAAAGAAACAGATAGGGGGAAAAAAAGCAATCACATTTCCATGTAATAGCCAATGAAAGTTCATGACTAACTGGAAATAATTATCTGCTTTGGCATAATAATGGCAGTATCCCCCCCCCCTTTTTTTTTTGTATTTTTGGTAAGTTGTAAGCTTCCTTGACTATTCAACAGGAAATAAATAGGGGAAATAAATAATGTAATAACTGCATAGAAATACCCAAATGCATCCAAACAAACATTCTAGCATTTGCAAGGTAATGCAATAGGTTAGAGCAGAGATGCTATAGTTAAGTTACATTTAGGATTGATTACACAAGTACATATTCATGCTGGCTTATATGCAAGAAAATATTTTTAAAAATGCAGATTATTAACAGATATGATCATGTGAAAAGAACAGCAGTGAAAAAATGGTTCTGTCGCACTTCCATTTCACTTCTTTCTTATAAACTGTAGTAACAAAAGCAACAGAGATCCTGCATCAGACTAATTCTAGGGGCCTTGCAACTCAATATCCACAAAGTTGCATTATACAAACAAAGGAGCCAGCAGTTTGGGGAGATAGGTGGGCATATTTTAAAAGTACTGTGTGGGCGCTCTCCCAAAATGGCTGCCGTGGACGATGTGGGCAGTCACAACACACCAATTTGCTACAACACAAGCTGGGGAGATTGAGTCCCACCATCCGTTCCAGCACACTGGTGATCTATGCCACCACTGCTTAACTTCACATTTGGAGCTGTAGGCCTACTTCCAAATAAAGCATTTGGCTGTAATCAGTTACCATCTCCAGCCTCTAGGAATATCTATGGGACCAGTAGGAGGGCCTAAAGCATTACTGTAAAGGTCAATAATGACGAAGACCGATACTTGTCATTTTCTTATTTTTCATTAAAGGAATCTAAAAAAAAAAAGCCAGAACAGGAAGGCTGGTGGATGCTATTAGGAATTATATCAGTTTCATGTAGCCTAACATCATACGAATCTAATTCCCACAGACACCAAGAACAGCAAGAACATTTAAGGAATTCCTGGAATGGAATTACCTGTACAGGCTGAATTTTGATTGTAGGTGTATCTGGAGGTATTGAGCATCTTACATTGGTGTTATTTGAGGCCTGACTCTGAGCTTGTAATAATGCTTGTTGAGGTATCAACATTAACTGACCGGTATTACTTCTGACCAGAATCATTCCTGCAAGAGAACACACTGTCAGATCTCCCACTATTCATTCTTAGCAAACAACAAACATGTTATTTTGAGTTTAGGGAGATTCAAACAAGATGAAAGAAATACCATCCTTAATTGTATTTAAGCCAGAAGTTATGTTAAGATAAGAAATACTGCAGTATTTTAGCACTCCTGTATGATGCAGTACAACACACTTCTGTATGATGCTTTTTAAAATTATATATGACTACACTTTTTGCAGTGTTCCAGCTAGTTACGATAAATGTGCCTAATATTTTGACTTCACAAAAATCCATCAAGCATATTTCAGCAACAAGAGAATTCAGAATTAATTTGCTCACAGATCTTCACAGTCAAAACTTGTGAAATATATAAATGTTTCAAGGGCCTTATAGTTTAAGTATGATCAAGCTTATCAGTCTGGCTTATTTCTAATTTTATGCAAATTAAAGATGGTTCCCATAAGAACGTTGGCCTTGTTTGACACTAGAAGAACAGATTTTAAAAAAGATAGTTTTTACTATACGTAAGACACATAGCTACATTTACATTAATAGTTTTACGGAATAGTAAAGATCAATTGGGATGTTCTTTCACAGTGAAGGATTTTATGTGCTGTCTGCACAACCACAGCAACTGGAAAATATTTATGTTTTAGTCAATCTTCATGCATTCATAAGCAGATTTCCCCATCACAAGAGTTAATATAAATCCAGAAAAATTCCCACATGGGCTAGAAATACTTTTTTCCTCTCAAAAGGCCTAAGACTGGGTGCAAGTATGAATTATTTTAAGCCAAGGTTGTAACAGGAGCATGTTTGTTACATAGCAGAGTTGCCAGAGTTTGGAGGCAGAGCCAAATTTCTTGTACTTAAAAAAATGCACACATGGGGGGGGCATGTAAGGAGCAGAATTCATGCCCCACCCTATTTTGCCCATGAAAAACTCCCAAACAATAATATCTGCCTGATTTTTGAGGAATTGGGATTTTTAAGGATTCACTGAGTATGGTAAGTCACTTGTTTTACTCCTTAAAAACCTTCCAAACTATCCCCCCCCCCAAAAAAAAGTAAAACATGCTCAGCTCCATCAACTCTGGGAGTACTGGGGAGCCATTGATCTACTCTTTCTCTACGTGGGGCTCCATTCAGGATCAGTCCACCATTTATATACTATGGAAAACAGGATAGCTGCACAAAACACTCTTCACACCATGTTATTTGCTCTTAGAATCAACTATTCTCAGATCACATTTTAACAGAAATAGCTGTTCAAGTATACCTTAAAACATCTTTCTGACTAAAATGGTTTACATTCTTAAAACATATCATGCATAAACATTTTTCAAGTATAGGAAACTCCAGGTTCCTAAGGCTCACCTTAGGTTATCTGCTTTTCTACAGCAAAAGCTGTAGCCATAGGTATATTAGACATTTCTTTCCAACAACTACCATATTTACCTAAAGGGAAGACATCTTCAGCCCACTCCATCCCCACTGCCAGAAGTTATACATACATGGAAAAATCAGTGCAATGCTCAAGATCCCTGTCTTGTCAACCTTGGACTGCTGAAATTAATCCTGAAAATTCCTGCCCCCATAAATAGCTCCATGTGACATACTTGTGTACATGTGTGAATAGATGCATCCACACTCACCTGCCAGAAGATACAACTTCAAAGGAAACTAGATAATTAAATAATGGACTAAAATTAATTGCTTACAATTAACTAATTACAAGGCACCCTTTTATAAAGCTAACTGATCCCTCATTTGCATATACTAAGCATTCATCTTTCACAGAAACACACAAAGATACACACACACACACACACACACACCACTCTCCTTCCAGCAGAAACAATGAAGAACAAAAAAGCATTATGGAGAGGCAGGAAGAGAAATGGAAGGAGAGAAGGATAGACAGACAAAACTGGATAGAAGTGAAGTCAGAGGAAGATAGAGATAGACAGGGGAAAAAGAAAAGCGGAGCCATGTTCAGGCATCACAAGTAGGGTTAAATGTCACCGTGCAAGCAGCCCCACCAAAGGGAACGCTAGTCTTCAGAGGGATTCCATGAAGATTAGATCTCCCACCATAAACCACAGTGAGGAAAAAACCCTTCCGGCTTAGTTTGAGCTACGACTACAGATTTCTTACTAAGAAAGACTACTCCTAAATACATGAAACTTATGCACCACTTGCAAAACAGTCTTAAGCTGGAGCTATGTTACTTGGTCTAAAGGGTCAGACAGTTATTAATAAAACAATATAACCTTAGTTTTTTTTTTTCTTCTCCCAAGAAGTTAAAAACAAAAGGTAGTAGCTTTCAGAGCTCAGTTATTTGGCTCGTTTAGACCATCCTTCTTTAATTAGTACATTGTTCCTGGATGTGTGAACAACTCAAAACTTTCTGCACAAGAATTTCAAGAAAGCTTTGGGAGAAGGAACGAACTTTAATCCCCAAACAGGTATCCAATAAACATAAGCTTTTATATTGTTCCACTAATATCATTGGGCACTCTTAACAGGCTCTTGTTATTAAAAAGGAGGGAAGTATGAAATGCTACCTACCCACTGCAAAGTATTACCTTTTCAAACCAACCACTTCCAAGAAAGCCTCAGATGTCTTTAGGAAACTCAAACAGAACAAGAAAGCTACAATTCTCATGTTTCCCAGCACCTGGTACCAATAGTCAGCCTTCAGGAATGGAGATAACATTTAGTACAGCTGTGCAGCAATCCAGATGTATCAGGGAAAAGATGATTCAGAGCAATCATGGCATGGCCAGGCACCTTGTATCTGTTAACTCCTTTAAGAAGCTGTATCTTTTCCTAGGCTTACCAACAAGTGAGATGTGTCTACCACATCCACTGAATCACCCTTTCCTCTTCAAATCTGGATAACTGCACAGCCCTACTATATAGTTCTTTAAAAAATTATCTAAGTCAATGGCCATCACAACTTTCAATCCCATAATCAAACACTTCCTACATGTTCTGAATCTTACCAACCATTCTGCCTTACTGACACCCTGTAAGGGAAAGTGGGGGGAAGGGAATCTATTTCTCCATGCCAAGCATAATTTTACATACTTTGATTATATTACTTATATTAAGAATATGGATTTTATTTCTCTCCAACTTCAGTGCTCCTTGTAAG